ATAAACGTATGTTTGTATTTGTTTGTTCGTTTTTAAAAGTATTCATATTCGGTTCGTGTTTGTTCAATTAAGTTAAATAAACATATTCACGAAATGAACAATTCATGAATAATAAACAAATTATAACTAAATAAATTTAAATAAATAAATCTTAAACGAATATAAACAAATCCAAAAAAACATAAACAAATCTTAAAATAGGATTAGGGTAAAAGATAAAAATGTAATTTTATTAGTATTATTATAAACAAATAACCAACGAATAGCAAACGAACAATAAACAAACAAGTTTTAAATGAACCATAAATGAGCTTGTTTGTGAACATAAATGAATGAAGAGGCAAATGTTCGTGTTCAGTTCATTTAATAAATGAACGTACAAATAATGTTCAAGATCGTTTATTAAGTTTAGTAAATGAACATAAACGAACAAAAATCAAACATGTTCACGAATGGTTCATCAAAAGCTCTATTTGCTTACACCCCTAAAAACAACAATCTATAGTAAACATAGGTTGTTTAAAATTATCAGCTAAATATTTTGGGCCCTATCAAATTATGGAAAAAGTGGGGAATGTGGCATTCAAGTTGGTATTACTTTAAAGCTCTAAAGTACATCCCACTTTCCATGTCTCTCAACTTAAGGAACATGTTGGTAGGCAACCTACACAACAATAGCTACCAGTAGTAGGAGATGATGGTACCATTGCCAATGAGCCTTTGAAGATCATAAATAGGAGAATGGTGAAACCTAGCACATTAGACTAATTCATTTCCAAAAGATGCAATGTGGGAAGTTCTTTATAATTTGCAGCAAAGATATCTAGGCTTCAATCCTTGAGGATAAGGATTCTCCACACTAAAAGAGTATTGATATATGCCTTAAATGAACTTTAGTAGTTTACCTATTTTACAGTAGCTTGTGTATTGGTTATTATTGGTTATGGTTGTTATATTAGTTATAACGCTAGTTAGAGACATTTATAACAATTATGCTAAGACTCAGTAGATGTATATAAATGAATCATTCGACATTGGGAATGATATGGAAACATAAAATTATTCGATCTCTCTTTTTCTTTCTTGATTTTCTTTCTTCCTCTCTCCTGGCTTCTTCCACTAAAGTTCATCTTTTCTTAAACCTTTCTTTTTTCTAGCTTTGATTACATGAGCTTGCATCAATTTAATCCCTAAATGATGAGATCCATGGATGGGAGAAATAAATCGTGTTCCCCTTTCACTTGCTTTTTCTCTCTTTCTATTTCCCCTATTTCTCTATTCTTATCATTCCTTTTTCTATAATCATCTGTACTGATTTTTAGCCTTAACCACTTCTTTCTCTTTTGTCTTTTCCAACATTCTCATTCTTCTCTTAAATCATTCTTTTCAAGGTTTTTTAGGTAAATCTTTCTCTTTCCTTTTTATTTTTTTTATCTCCACTCTCTCTATGCTTCTCTCTCATTAATTTCAAATGCTTATAGTTAGTCATTAGTCTCCAAACCAAAAGCTAAAATAGTTATTTCACAATAAGAAACAACTATTATCCTTTAATGTTTTATGATTCTTTACTTCTTTTAATTGTATGTTATTGATATTATTTTCATCATACAAAATTATCCTTCAAATTATTTTTAAAGACAACAATGATCTATCCCTTCTTAGTAAGGTATGGAAAGTTTTAATTGTAAGTAATAAATATAGGATATTTTTATACAAAAAATTATGATAGGATAGAATAAGATGATATTATAAATAAAATAAAATTAAATAATGTTATCTTATCTTGTATTTGACATGTACAAAGATTAATGTAGGATAATTTATTTATTAGTTGTAATTATTTTTTCTCAAAGTTTATACAATTTAAATTATTGATATAATTTTTAAAGTATGATAAGATATATAAATTTAATCCCATAAATTAATAATAATCATTTTCATTTTTAGAAGATTGAATAATTCTATACTAAAAGGATAATTAATTTTTTTTTATAATCATATCTTTTTTTATATAAGAATTAAATATAATATAAAATAATTATTATCCAATCTTACCTATCATTTTATATACCAACATAACCATATACTATTAAAATTATGCGTATTCACTATACAGGTAAATAAAATTTATGATTTGATAAAAAGTTTTGAAAGAGAATGGTATTAAAAAAAGCTTTGGTAGTTTTTTAATGGATAATTATCCGTCGCATATTTTTGGAATTGTAGTGAAAGAAAATTACTTATTTTATGGTTTTTATTTTGTTGACTTTTTTTTTTTGGCAATTCACTTATTAAGTTGGTGTTTACTTAACTGGTATCAATTAATCAAATTTTTTAAAATTAGTAAACATGGATATTATGAAGCTATATATTTTATTACATTCACTCACAAAATAAACATGAATTTTTAACTTTTTTTCTTATAAATAAACATGAATAAAACTTTTAAAAAAATTAAGAGTGAAGTAAAAAATTTTAATTTCTATGATTATTAAAATCCTATCCAATCAAATGCTGGATATTGTAAACTCGAAACAAAATTCTTGTCCATAAAATTTTCAATTTCTCAAGTGTTTAATTAATTTAAGCATCTGGATATTCATCCTTCCAACTTTCTAGACATTTGTATCAATTTTTGAGGCTTCACTTTGCATGGGTATGTTTTATTTTCTATATCCTTTGGTCATAACACAATTGAAGGGTACTCTTCAATAAAAAAGACTAAAATGGTGTCTCGCCTTCGCTTTGGATTTTTTTAATTAATAAAAATAATTTTAGATTGTATGATATTATAAGTAAGTAATTATTGTAAAAAGCAGATTTTTTAAAAATAATAATGAAAATATTATATTAATTAAGAAAAAAAACAAATTAATAATTCAAAAGTTTTTTTTTTTGCAATAATTTCTATTACTTCTTATTTATGATCTTAAAAATTAAGAAGAAATTTTTTTATGAATTGTTATATTACAAAATGCAACTTTTATTTTTGAATTCAATTTTTTAGTATTTAAAATGATTATAAAAAATAAACTATAAACCAATTATTTTTAAATTGTTTGTAAAAAATAAAATATAAATATTTTTTTGGGACCAAGACAATTTCGAGGTGATTTTGTAATAATGGAATCAATTATTTTTAAGCTATTGATCAAAATAGTTATATTTAATAGTTTTTTAATGAAAAAAACAAAACCATTTTATAAAAAGTATATGCTCTAGTTATACATAAAAGTGATCATTAGCATATCATATTATTTTATATTGGGCTGTATTTATCATATAAAGTCACTGAAAATAAATTTTTAAATTGTTTATATTATGTTATTATTATCTTATGAACATACAGAAAATAAATTTTAAAATTATTTATAAGAATATACAACTAATTAATATTAATTATGTATTATTAATATTTATTTCATTTCGAATTTAATATTCATATCTAGAGTGAGACGAAGTTTAAGAAAATTTGAATTTAATTATTTTAATATTATTTCTTCACTTTTTTTTTTTACAATATTAATAAGCTATAGCTTTAAATGCTAAAGAGTACAAAAAATAATATGAAAATTAAGGATTGTAAGTGTTAAAGGAAATAAAAACAATTTTGAATCAATCCAAAAAAATGTGGAGTTTTAATATGTGAAAAATGAGTATTTTTTAATTTGTTTTTATTATGTTGATTATTATATTTTTATCTAGTAATTTTTTATTTGAAAATTTAGTAATTATTTTTAACCAATTATATCATTTTTATTTTTTTTACTTTTAAATATTTAAAGCTTTTTTTTTATCTAATTTATCAATCCTTTATTCATTTTTCATTCTTAATTCTATTTATTTCCTTTTATTTTAGTAATTATTTAATTATGTTAGAATTACTTTTGTTGATAATAGACCATATTATTTGAAAAATATCAAAATTTTTAAAATTTGTGAAAACTATATTTGAAAAAAGGAAATTAAAAAACTATCAATGATTTAATTTAAATAATAAAAAATGTACCACAAAAAAATTTTGAAAAAAAAAGTAAGAAATGAAGGCAACAAAAATTTTTTTATATGCAGACTAATTCTCACAAAGCTAATAAATGGTACACACTAAACCTTAAGTTGACTAAATGCAAAACCAATTAAAAGACACATGGTACAATATTACCCCTAAGTTGGCTAAATTTTGGCATTAGAATTGAAAAGGGACAACTTTAATCTTATGTTATTCATATTATTATTTTATAAAAAAAATCATAGTTTGAGAAAAAATAAGTTATATATATTAAATTTTAAATTTTAAATTTATTAAATGTTATTTTTTAAAAATAATTGTATAAATTAATTAATTTTTTTAATATAAAAAAGATGACAACTTGAAAATTAAAAAAAATTATAATTACTAATATTTGAATTTTAAATTTATTAAATATCTTATTTTTAAAATAATTATATAAATTAATTGAATTAAAATTTGAATAAATTAAATTAAATTAAATTTGAATTTAATAAGAGAGTAAGTTATTGTTTGACTAAAACAAAAGGTTGATCACCCAAAAGAACCAGACTGTGCCCAAAATAAAAAGTAGTTACTCCAAAAACATTTTAAAACAAAAAAAAAAACACCGGAAATATTAAACCGGTTTACTACAGCACCCTACGCACTCCGGTGCTTAAACTTTCACTTGCTTGCATTTGTTGAAACCTGTCCCAAAAATTTAAACCACCAATAGAAAAAGACCAGATTCAAAGACAAATTAACAAGCCATGACGTGGCGGAGTGGCGTAGAGAATAAATATGGGATAGACTACTCGCGCGAGTGAAGAGAACGATGATTGTCGGTTTTGTGGAAAACGCGGGTGAACAGAAGGCAGAGGAAAGAAAAGAAAGGGAAATGGAAAAACGAGGTGGTTGGTTTCGGAGGGTTGGGTTGGGTTGGGTTTTGTTATTTTTTTTTTATTATTATTATTAATATTTTTATTTTTATTTATTTATTTATTTATTTATTTTGTGGAGAAGAGAAAACAACACTCTTTCCCTTCTCTAAAATTTAAACACTAAAATAAAAAATAAATATTTTTTTAGAAAACAAAGTAAGACATTCCGTGAAGAAAAGCTTTCATTTTAGTTTTACTTTTTTTTCGTCTCTAAGAAATTAACCGTTTTTTGGTTTCTGTTAGGAAGGAGGAGGAGAGGGGAGAGTTTTTGCTAAAGGAAGAGCCGGGTTTATGACGGGGAATGAGATTCCGGCGTTGAGGTGGTGCTAACGTGACAGTAGTGGTGATGGAGGAAGATGACTGCTGAATAGAATTCTCATTCGATGCAGGAATTCCAATGTCCCGAACAGCAGCAGCGGTGGCAGCAGCGGCGGCGGTGGCTGTGACTGAAGGAACCTCGCTTTCACTATCGTTGAATCAAGGCCTCTCTCTATGTCTTTGTCTATTTCTTTACTCTGTTCTTATTCTATTATTATTTTATTTTTCGAAACGCAAGAGAAATGCAGTTTGGTGGTTATTCTCCAGCCTTGAATTGTCCTTTTTGCCCGTAAATTCCCGTTTGATCATTGTCAAAAATCAGTCACTTTTTGGCTAAATTTTAATAAAGGAATTATGTAGAATTTGATATGATTAATCTTAAATTCTTAATTGTGTTTTAATTGTTGAGAAAACATTGCAAATTTGCGGTGATTTTGAATAAATTGTTGCAAGCTCTGTTTCGGTGATGTGGACGAATTCCACGTTCTTAAATTTTTTCGAGTCAAGTTCAAAGTTTTAGGAAATAAAAGGAAATTTAAAATTTTGTGTTATGAGGTTTTTTATTTATAAGTTTTTTTTTTTTCATTATTGCTTTATTACTTGTAGAAAAAGATTAAGTTCTATTTTCTTTTTCTTTTTTTTTTTATTGGATTAAAGTCATGAATTTCATCATTAAAAATCTTGCCTCTGTATCTTTCAATGGATTGGATTTGATCATGCTGAAATTGAGCTACATTAATTTTCTATGTATGAAATTATGAACTGTTCAGTTCACCAAGTGCAATTGAGGTGGTTATGGTCGTTATAATTGGTCTCTTTTTACATCTTTTTATCACTGCATGATTGGGGACTATATAATTTTTTAGATTGGCTCTTCGTTTTCTCCTTGACTGTTTGTGGAAATGCAATTAGGCACTGATGGCTATAGGTTTAGATTAACTAATCATTTTCTTCTCTTTTGTGATGAAATTACAAGTCAAAAGTTGGCATTTGCCTATTTTTTTTTTCATAAAATCAAGGGTACATGCCTACATAGTCTCGAGATATTTACTTCATTTTTTCTACTTTTCTTTTTTCATTTCTTTGAAGTTCCTTTCAAGTGTAAATATGTGGTCTTTCTTTATTATTATTATTTTTTAAAAGTAAAAAGTTGGGGTTGATAATCAAAGATAATGAGATTTCTCCTTGTTTACATGTATAGATTATTTATTTGAAACTCTGGTAATCATGTAGGAAGAGTGATACATAACTTAGAGTCATGATTCCCCAATGAGTTCATTTGGTTTGTGATAGACATTAAAGAGAAGAAAATATAAACCTTTTGTCTTATTTTCCTTGTTCTTTAGACCTACTTGCTCATCTTACTATTGCATTGTTTTTAATATTTGCCCAATTTTTTTTTGGAAAGAGTAAGAATGAGTGGAGGTAGAAGCGTGAGGAGAAGAGGGGGAGAGAGTGTCTAAGGTCCTTTTGTTTGAATTTCTTAAAAAAGATAGAAAGTAAAGGAACCAGTTGACAAGGAAATGAAATCATAGCTTATAATATTTCTTCAACAACTATATCATTTATATGCTAAAATGAAAGAGTAATAAAAAAGCAACTTTGTCTGTACAATGAATTTTTTATTGAGGAATTCTTTCCATTGAAAGCCCTGAACCTTGGAATGGTATAAAATAAAGGGAGAGTTGGAGATTTCTGAGTACCCATCCAAGTCTCTCTTTCTCTATTAAAATGTTGCCAAACAAGGGAGAGGCATCACTCCATCTCCGTTCGGCTCAAACCAGTCATATTCTCTTAATATATCAGAGCTGCTACAAGTGATTGTGAGAATCATGTTAGCACTTCAGATATAAATTGTATTGTTGCTCATGTAACTTGAATATGGACTGTCCATATTAAAAGCATATAATTTTAATATGGAGAATCTGTATAAAACAAGCTTATTCAAGACATAGTAGTTTATGTCTTATGTTCTAAAATGGTGGTGAATAAAAGTCTTTTCTCTGAGTACCATTTCTCTTCAGTTAACCTAATATTCTGTTTTGTGGTAGCATTTTCTTTGAAATGGATTCATCACTTTAATGATTTTACTTCACCTTAGTCTCTTTTGAACTATAACTCTTCTACCTTTTCTATTTTTCATTTATCTTGTATAGGATGCTACTTTTAAGCACTGTATTGAGTGTACTGGATACATTTCTAAGATAAATTATATTTTTGTTTAATAGAAAATTGCTGCATTTATTTGTTTTTCAAACTTATGGAATGAATATGGTTGATCTTGATGCTTCCTTCAGATGCTGAGATTTCGAAAGTGAAAATTTCTCTTCTTAGTGTTAACATTCCCAAGTTAGTTGAGACAGGTTTGGATCTTGAAAAGAAGGGAAAAAAAAAAGGTTTTGTAAAGGTCTTTTTTTGAGGTTTAAGGAAAAAATAGAATTGCATTCTTTTCCTCAAATAATTTAACGACTGCAGAGGCATGCAAAAGTTAAGGGTTAGAATGAGATTTCTTACTGCTGCTTGGCAGAACCTTGTTTTTTAAAGAGATGTTCTTCCCATCCCAATTATTTAATGCAAATTCTCAATTGTTTGCACTTTGATACTTCAACTGTTAGAACATCAAGTGAATCTATTTTAAATGCAAGGGGTAAATATATGATACTTTAAAGCTAATAGTGATTGAAATTAAGTATTGTATGTCCCAGGAAAATTGTTTGTGAATTGAAAATTTCCAATACCATTTGTGGTTCTTTGACTCTGTTTTTCATGTTTTTTCTGAACCTACTCATTTAATATTATTTCAGATGATATGTGGCAAATGAACTTGAGATCCAGTGAAATGATGGAATCTGGTCCCTACCCTGAGCGACCTGGGGAACCAGATTGTTCTTATTATATCAGGACAGGTCTTTGTAGATTTGGGGCAACCTGTCGTTTTAATCATCCTCCTAACCGAAAGCTGGTATAAAGCCATGGCTTGTTTGGACAATTCTTATGAATTCTGAGTTAATGCTTTTTGAGTGAGATATTATTGGTACAATGCCAAAGAGCTTCTTAATTTTATCCATTTTAGAGGCCTGCCTGTTATTATTATCATTGACATAATATTTTGGTAGTTGAAGTCATAGACATGTGAAACTTTTACACATGGGTCGTTACTACTAAATCACTTTAAAACAGAACTTGTAGGAAAATTTATAGAGTATTAGATGCTCAAGAGAAAAGCATGGTTCTGTGTATGCACACACTCATACACTTGCTGCTACAAACATGGGTATACTTCATCTGCTATGTTGTTTTCATTTTAACTTTGTCCTAGTACTCATTTGAGTTTTTAAATATCAATTGTCATTTGAAATGTTTATTTAGATTATATCAAATTCTAGGCTATTGCCGCTGCAAGGATGAAAGGAGAGTTTCCAGAAAGATTAGGACAACCTGAATGTCAGGCATGTACTTATTCCTTGGTTTCCCATGTAACAACAATGTTGCCGCTTTTACATATGTGCTTTACAACTGCAATGTATGATTAACATGAAGTATATTACTTTTATGTATCTAAAAGAGCAAATTTATTTTATTTGTGTCTAGGAGATTTCATCCATCAAAATGATGGGTCAAATATTTTAATACTTTAGTGAATGCTGTTATTCTAGATTGATGCAGATATTTCCCTACAAATTCAATATGCTGTTATTGGTGAATTCTTATGGATTTGACTGTTCAATCTGTTTTGTTTTGCAGTTCAAATTTTGTTTGTATCTATATGGATGATGCACTAGAATTAAACGAGTGTTCCTGCTACTTTTTAAAGTTGTTCATAATGAATCAAGGATTACTTTAATGTTTAGAAACAAATCCTGCTGGATGTTGAACAGAGTGAGACTCATTTGATTGTAGGTTAAAGGAAAATTTATCGAAAATAATAGTGTAACCAACACAGATTGTTGATGATAAAGGGTTCTATTACTTCGTATATGGTCTCTTCCTCCCTTGTCCTGCTTTTGCCTCAAAAGATTCTTGTCATCATGGCAATTCTTAAAGGCAGATCCAGTCCTGTCTTGATCCTAGTATAAGAAAATAAACAAATAAAGAAACTAAGAAGGCTAATAATTTGGATTGGAAGAAGGTTTACTTCTCTTTCTAGTGGTTCAACATAGCAATCAAACCTCTATCTGAACCCTCAACTTGACTAGATGATTGGCTTCTTCTAATATTTGCTTTATTCTTGTATGTTATTTTCACTCTTCCTATTCTAGAAAGGAAAGATAGCACCAACTCCTGCTTTTATTGCACTGGTATCTTAATTGCAATCTTGGTAGAAGCTACTCTTTTGGTTTTACTGCCTCGTGTCACATATGGGACTTTATGTTTCTTATTTTCATTTATGTTTGGATCTGACAATTGACATTTTGCTCTTAACTGCTCTGCAGTACTACCTGAAAACAGGAACTTGCAAATTTGGAGCTACATGCAAGTTTCATCATCCTAGAGACAAAGTTGGGATATCTGGGAGAGTTTCCTTGAATATTTTGGGCTATCCTCTTCGCCCGGTTCGGATTTCATTTTCTCCTTGCACTTTTACACTACAATTTTATAATCACACAAAATTTAAGTCAATATTCAGGTCTCTCCGTGTTTCATTTTTGTTTGTTCCTTTCTCTTTTTTAAACAAAAATTACAATTTTTTAATTGGATTAGTTTAGTAAAAAACAGAAATTGATACTAAAGAAATCTCTAGAATAAAACTATTTTATATTTCTATATTTTTCTTATTACAATATTAGAATTGCATGAAAATATATAGGCTAAAGACTGAATATTCTCAGCCTTAAAACCCAAGATTTTCATGCATTAAAACAACTAATCAAATGAGTAATTTACTTTCTACACATAATAGGAAAATATCTAATAGATTTGATGTAATTATCCAAATCACTTCTTTATTCTAAAAATAAGAGACTTAACTAAAATAGATAAAGTTCATCAACCAAGTAATAATGAAGATTAGATTTTCACACTCTCCCTTAAACTGGGTGGTAGATATCAATCATGCCCAGCTTGGACTTCAGATTTTGGAAGTTGTTTCGAAAGAAAGTTTTAGTGAGTATGTCTACAGTTTGGGGGCATGTAGGAGTATAAACTAATCTAACAATTCCTTCTTCTATCTTCTCTTTGATGAAGTGATGATCAATCTCCATATATTTAGTCCTATCATGATGAACAGGATTCTTTGCTATGCTTATGGCAGCTTTGTTGTTGCAGAATATCTTCATGGATTCTTCTGCAGAAACCTTTAACTCCCCTAGCAACCTTTTCAGCCAAATTCTCTCACATATGCCATGAGACATAGCTCTAAACTCAGCTTCCATGCTACTTCTAGCCACTGCAGATTGCTTCTTGCTTTGCCAAGTAACCAAATTTCCCCACACATAGGTACAATAACCAATAGTTAATCTTCGGTCAATAACAGATTTAGCCCAATCAGCATCAGTGTAAATTTCAACATTTCAGCATGATGTCTTCTCAAAAAATAACTCCTTGCCAGGACTCTTCTTTAGGTATTGTAAGATTTGGTACACAACTCTCAAGTGTTCCTCAGTTGGGTTGTTCATGAATCTACTTACCATGCTAACCGAAAAACCGATATCTAGTCTTATATGAGAGAGGTAGATGAGTTTCTCTGCAAGTCTTTGATATCTGCCTTTATCTGTTGGTGGACTTCCTTCTTCCATTCCTACCTTATTCATTGTGTCCATAAGGGTGTCAGCAGGTTTGCATCCAAGCATTCCAATTTCTCCTTTAGTAAGTCTAGGACATACTTACATTGTGAAACAGAGATGCCATTTCTTGAACGAGTTACCTCCATGTCAAGAAAATATTTAAGGTGTCCCAAATCTTTGATTTCAAATTCTTTGGCTAGGAGGTTCTTTAGGTTGCTAATTTCTTCCACATAGTCTACAATAAGAATAATGTCATCCACATAGACAATAAGAATGGCTATTTTTCCTTCAGGTGAATGTTTGACAAACATGATATGATTGGTCTGGCATTGTGAAAAATCATACTTCTTTACCACTTTTGTTAGTCTATCAAACCATGCACATGGGGATTGTTTAAGACCATATAAAGACTTTTGAAGTTTACATACCTTGCCAAAATTATCTTAGTTTTTGAATCCTTAAGGGATTTCCATGTAAACTTGTTCTTCTAGGTCACCATTAAGAAATGCATTTTTGACATCTAGTCGGTGGAGTGGCCAATCTAGATTTGCTACCAATGATAATAACACCCATACTGAATTAAGTCTAGCAACCAAAGCAAATGTCTCCTCATAATCAACACCATAAGATTGAGTAAATCCTTTCGCAACAAGGCAAGTTTTGAATCTGTTAATTCTTCTATTTGCAATGTGCTTGATAGTAAAAAACCATTTGCACCGAACTGGATTTTTCCCTTGGGGTAATTTTGAAATCTCCCATGTTTTGTTCTTTTCTAGGGCACTAATTTCTTCCAAAATAGCCATCTTCCATTTTGGTTGCATGAGTGCTTCATAAATATTATTGAGAATTTGCATATTGTTTAGTGTGATAACAAAAACACGATAACTAATTGATAAACCTTCATAAGAAACCACATTACAGATTGGGTGTTGAGTACATGATCTCACACCTTTCCTTAAAGCAATCGGTTGATCAAGATCATCAAAAGATTTAATTGAATCAGATTCAATAAGAGTGTTACCTGTGTTGGTTTCAAGTATCTCTGGAATTGGTTCAGATTCTTGGTTTTGCTTTGAAGGTGTACATTCTCCTAGATCCTTTCAAGTTTTATGTCTTCTTGAATAGACAATCAATTCTTTGTTTGTTTTCCCTTGTGTGGACTTCGGGTTTGGAGGATCTGATTGGATGTTTTGGACTTGAAAGGGAGTTGGAGAAGTGTTTGGTGGTTCGTTAATAAGATTTTCCCAAAGCTGAAATTCTCGTGTGATTGGATTCTTCACCTGAGTGGCAATTTTGGGAAAGTAAGATTGATTTTCAAAAAAGGTAACATTCATGGAATGGTAGAATTTCTTTGTTACTGATGAGTAACACTTGTATCCTTTTTGAATCGGGGAGCATCCGAGAAATATGCATTTAATGGATTTGGGATCTAATTTGCTTTAGTTTTGTTGGCTGGTAAGAACAAGTGCAGTGCATGCAAACACTTTAACGGGAATAGACAAGATGATTCGAAGGTGAAGATATGAACTGAGAAAAGATTGGCAAGAGGTTTGAAATTTCAAGACTCGTGAGGGCATTCTGTTTATAAGATATGTAGCGGTAAGAATAGCCGCACCCTAAAAATACTTAGGTACATGAGCAGCCATCATGAGGGATCTTGCAACTTCCAACAAATGTCAATTCTTTCAGCCACAACATTCTGTTAAGGAGCATTGACACATGAGCTTTGATGAATTATACCGTGCTTCGTTAGATATGATCCAAGGATTGAATTGTAGTATTCTCTCCCATTGTCAATTCTCAACACTTGGATTTTGGTTTTGAATTGAGTTTGGATCATATTGTTGAAGTTTTGGAATAGTTTGCCCACTTCTGATTTTTCCTTCATAAGGAATACCCAAGTAACCCTGGTGTGATCATTAATAAATGTGGCAAACCATCTAGAACCAATAATGTTATTTACTCTTGAGGGACCCCAAATGTTACTTTGTATCATTGAAAAAGGATGGAATGATTTGTAAGACTAATTAGGATATGTGGTAAAGGTATGTTTGGATAGTTGGTGGACTCATTGAAAGTTGTTAGGATTTTTATTGAATAATGAGGGAAACAACCTTTTGAGGTACAAAAAGTTTGGATGACTCAACTAATAATGCCACAACATGATAGTACTCTCTTTATTATTACTAGAGGATGAAGCCATACAAGAGGTTTTCTGATATTGTCTTTCAGAATCATTAGCTCTTAGGATATGTAGTCCTGCACACATCTTAGCATTGCTAATCATCTTCCCTAAGTCCAAATCTTGAAATTCACACATATTTGGAAGAAATTTAGTAACACACTTAAGGTCTCTTGTAAGTTTGCTTATAGACAGTAGATTGCAACTTAGATTTGGGACAAACATAACAGAATCAAGTGTTATCTCTTTGGAAATAATAACAGAACCTATACCGGCCACTTTTGAAAGTAACCCACGAGCAATTCTAACTATGAAGTTTTCATGACATGAATTGTATTTACTGAATACAGATGCATGCCCAATCATATGGTCTGAAGCTCTTGAATCCACAATCCATGAATTTGATTTTTTTGGTTTAACACTCAAGACACTTAGAAAATTACCTTTTTGTGCTAAAGAACCTGTTCCAATAACGCTAGCTCTGGGGTTAGAGATAACCTCCGACATGGGGCTCTCCTTTTCACTGGCCATGTTGGACTTTGAGTGAAAATTTTCAAAAGTTCAAATCGTGCTATGATACCATGAAAAAATCTCTAAAATAAAACTATTTTATTTTTCTATATTTTTCTTGTTGCAATATTAGAATTACATGAAAATATATAGGCTAAAGACTCAATATTCTCAACCTTAAAACCCAAGATTTTCACGCATTAAAACAGCTAATCAAATGAGTAATTTACTCTCTACACATAATAGGAAAATATCTAATGGATTTGGTGTAATTACCCAAATCACTCCTTATTCTAAAAATAAGAGACTTAACTAAAATAGATAAAGTCAATCAATCAAGTAATAATGAAGATTAGATTTTCACAGATACCATCCAGTTAAGCTTGTCCCATTACATAGTTATATTGACTGAATGTTAATTGGTTTATCATTTAGATCCGACATGAATAATAGACATACATAGACAAGGGTCATAATTCATAAAGTAAAATGTTCATCACTTGCTATGACTCAAACAGAACCTTTTCTCTTTTCAGTTTTTAGTTATGAATTTGTGTAACTTTAAATATGAATTCATTAACGAAAACACTGCTGAATTTTCGACCATTGTTGGCCTCAAGATTGAGGTTGAATTGTTGCATAAGTTTGGACCTCATGGAGGCAGGCTGTATTTCTTCAATGATTGGTTTCTAATATGTGTTTTTTATATGGTTATCTGTGTTTGTTGGCTTAATGTAACTTGTTTTCCTTTTACTTTTCTTTTTGCAGGATGAGACTGAGTGTGCTTATTATCTAAGAACTGGACAATGCAAGTTCGGGAGCACTTGTAAATTCCACCATCCTCAACCAACTAATATGATGGTTTCATTGCGTGGCTCTCCTATTTATCCGACTGTCCCTTCTCCAACCACTCCTGGTCAACAGTCATATCCAGGAGGCATTACAAATTGGTCCAGAGCATCTTTCATTCCCAGCCCCCGTTGGCAAGGTCCTTCAAGCTATGCATCCTTGATTTTACCCAAGGGATGGTATCAGTTCCAGGCTGGAATGCTTACAGCGTAAGCTTTTCCTTAGCTTATTACTAATGCTGTGTTTGCTAACCATGCCCGTTTAGTGTTTACATGTGTTTGGACAACATTAAAGGTGACAAATGAGGCAACTTGTGAGAATTATAGTTGTCGATATGGTAATACTTTGTTCTTGGAAAATAATAATATTTGCCTCAAGTTGAGAGGTTCTCTAATATTTTAAAAGAAGCATTATCAACCTTCTTCTCTAAAGGTTTGTTTTATAGTTGATCACCTTTTATCTTTTGCTGGGCCTGAATAAAATGCGTTTGGAGCACGCTATAATGGTGCAATTTCAACCAATGACATTTTTTTTTTTTGTTTCCCTCTAAAGAAGAATCTTGTTCTTTGCTTGGTTACGGTTGCATCATACTAATATTGGATGAGCTTTATTTGATGGAGCTAGTGTCCAGAAGCCACAGAAAGGGTAGTTTGTGATGCTTGTCATTAACATGAAATTAGTGGTACTTTGGTAGCAATAAGGGAGCCTAGGATTAAGTCTGATGGAGTTTGGATAAAGCCTTGGAGATCAAAAGTAGACAGTATTGGTGCTGTTACCAGTGGTAGTGGAGTTGTACTGCTTTTTGTTGTTGGAGACACTTGTGGCTGGTTGGTGATGTGGTCGAACAATTATGATTTGCCGCTGAGTTGGTTGATATTCTGAAGGAATCCATTCAGGACTAAAAGTTAAACATGGCCCATCTATTTCTTGTCATGCTTATTAATAGGTTTTATGGTTTAGAATCGAATAAGCATTTCAGACTCTCGGTCAACTCCTATCAGCAGGTGAGTTGGATTGGAATTTAATTCTTAATCAGAATAATTTATGATGGTTGCACCAGTTTGGTCTTGGTAGAAGTAAATATTATGAAGTGCAGAAGTTTCTTTTAAAACTATATCTGTGATTGTTGAATTACTTTACAATTTAGAAATGAGAGTGAATTGAATCAGAAATATTGTAGCTTAATTTTAACCTATTTGATTAGCTGCTTGTTTCTACAAAACCCACTATTCTATCTCCTTGTGAATACATTATCAACTGTGTGATATAAACCAGATCTGTCCATGAATGTATTTTCATTGAAGAACAAATGTTTTATGATAACAATTACAGTTGTGACTATCTTTAGAGCTGAGTTTTTTCTAGCGGTTTGATCCAAATGTCTTGACGGCATCTCTAACTTTGTAACTGTATCAAAATGCCTGAGAGCATATATCTACTCTCTGTTTTTTATTTATACTGAATTTGATTCTGTAAGTTGGTTTTCACTTTGAGAAGTGCTAACATTAATTACCCAAAAGTGAGAGAGAGAGAGAGAGAGAGAGAGAGAGAGAGAGAGAAGTGTTACCATTCTGATACTTATCATTTCTCCAGGGTCAACTGGCATCAGTCTCTTCTTCAGAGAACGTGCAGCAGACAAATGGAAATAATCAAATCTATGGAACATCACGCCACAATGAATCAGCAACTGCAGGATCTCAAGCATCCTTTTCTCAATTACGTTCTGGCTCTGTCCCTGTAGGTTTTTATGCATTGCAGAGGGAGAATGTATTTCCGGAGAGACCTGACCAACCAGAGTGCCAGTTTTACATGAAGACTGGAGATTGTAAATTTGGTGCGGTTTGTAGGTTTCATCATCCAAGAGAGAGAGTTCTTCCTGCCCCTGATTGCTTGCTAAGTCCTATAGGCCTTCCTTTACGTCCAGTGAGTTATTTATTCAGTGGTACTTCTGTCTTTCAGTTTATTTCTGAAGTTGGTATGTTCAAATTATTACGGCTGTTTATGAAAAGCCTAGTCTTCATGCCACTTAAAAATATGTCCTTCCCTACTTATTACCATACTTTACCTTTCTTTTAAAAATTTTGGTTTCCTAATTGTTGGGTTTTAATTGCAGCCCAAGCTAATAACTTTTTATGTTAAAAAAAATGGGATATTTGCCTTGATACCCTTGCTGGGCAATTGGTCATTATGTGGTTTCCATAAATAATTTAAATTAGATTAGAAGGAATTAACATAAAAAATAAAGTGTTGCATATTGACAAAGGAGAAAGGATGATCTCCCTGCGTGTTTGTTTGGGTTTAGCAAATAAGGATTTTATGGGTTATGTTTGTGGATCAAAAGGTCTAAGGCTATTAGGCAGTGCTTGAGTTTTGGTTGTGAAAAGTAATATAATCAAGAATTAGGTTGCTGCAATTTTCTGCTGTTACTGTACTAATAGTGTGTATTGGCCACATTGAAGATGGGAGGTGCTTGTGCCATAAAATCTAGTATGACTAGGGTGGTTGAAGAGGATTTTATGGTTTAGAGGAGCAGCGAATCGTTCTAGTTCTGCAGAGAGTTATGACCAGCACCATGAGGAATCCATCTTGGTTCATGTAAAACACGAAAAATAAAATAAAATCTTGCCCTGTTGAGCTTTTTTGAATCAAATTTTTATGATGCAGTAATGAGTCAATGGAGGACAAAGCATTGGAGGAAGAAATTATGTTATTTCTATTTTGATATAAGTTTTTATTTTGGTACTTCTAAATTCAGATTAGGGTTAGTTATGTGTGTGTGTGTGTTTCACTGTGCTAATTAGTGGCAAGTTTTGAATGCTTTAATGTTAGAGATTAGAATTCGCTCTCTGTCTAGTTTCCCTTTCTTCAACTTTCTCTCTCTCTCTCTCTCCTACTATCCCTCCTTCATCCTGCATTAACTTCAACCTTGTGAAAATTCCTCCAAGATTTTTCAACAGATCCTACTTTTAGCCCTCTCCAGGGTAAAAAGTAGTCCACAAATTTGTGGTAATCATGTCAAGAATATTGCTGTTAGCTTCAAGTTGACATAATAGATGATTGAGAACAAAGTTATTTCTGTTGATAGAATTATGGAACCAATATAGTTAAATTTCCTCTTTGCACAAACTGTAAGTTTAATCCTTCAACTAACGACTGTAAACTTTGTATCAAAAAGAAAAGATAAACTGTAAGTTTTACCACGGGATCCTCTTAAAGCTTGTATATGAACTTCATTTTGTTTTACCCTAGATCTTTGGATGTCCATTGGGGTTTTAGAATAGTGTCAGTATCCCTATGAAAATTGCTATGAATAATGAATTTATGACCTTCTTTGAAGAATTTAACTTCATTGACTATGATTGCATTCAGTTTTGCTCATCTTGTTCTTTAGTTCTGATCAGATAGTATGATTAGTATAACTTCAATTCTAATTGCATCAATCAATATTAATGCTGAGATTTTTTTTATGTTAAAATATTCGTGTATCTCTTTCTGATGGATAGATCAGTTGAGTTAAAAGCTTTGTTACATGGACTCGGCATTTTTGGGCACGATACCCTTGTCGACACAACATGATTTGGTTGCAGAATATGTATCTGATATGGCACTGGTTATTCAGACTTGGAATGAAGAAAGTGAGGTAAATCAAACACCAAATGAAGAAGGTGAACAGCAGAGACAACAATGAGTTATTGCTGGGTCATGTTAGCTCCAAATGGACAAAATCCTCAAATTGACCAAAAAAATGAGGTATAAGAGGAAGCATTATGGCCTGGGAAGATAGCGAGAGATGATCAAAACAAGAAGAAAAAAAGGAAAAAATAAGGACTAAAAGGATTTGAAACCAGCTTCATCGTACTCCTAATTCTTGTCTGACACTGCACCTGCTTTTTGCATTCCTCCACTGGTTTCAGACAAAAAAGGGATTGTTCTTGATTTTGATAAAACCTTGGTGCACTTTGATCAGAAAAAGAAATGAGAAGGAAGATTGAAATGACAAGAAGAAGATTCTAGATAAGTCATAAGTGCACATAGTTGGCTTTTGTGTCCCCTTTTAATTAGCTTTTTTTTAATAATCCTTTTAATCAGCTTTAGGTTTCTATTAAAAAAGAAAAACACAATTAGAATATTAGAATAGTATAGATTAAACTACTCAAATATATATGTACATGTATGTTTACATGTACATGTACATATACATATATATATGTTGCTACTTTTTATAAAATAAATATTACAGATCTATTTTTCTAAACTTTTTATGACATGCATCCCACATCCTATCCGTTTGGTCATAGGGCATACATTAACAATTTCTTTGATTTTGTTGGAAATTAGAGTTCATCATTTAAATGAGTCAAGGTCCATCCCTCAACAAGATAAAGTGATGAAAACAAAATCTAGTTTTCTTAAATTGGAATTTGCATATCAATTTGGAGTTTCAGTTTTTGTATAATATTTTTTATAATATTATTGCAAAACATATCCATATCCAATTTTCCGACTCTTCTTAGCCTCCTTCACTAGTCCGAAATGTTGGATGGAAGGAAAGTTAGACCCTTGGATGCATATCCATGCCAGATTCCAATATCTGAGTCCATGTAACATAGGTTACAAGGTTATCATTCAAGTTAACTGCCTCATTTCATTCTTAATTACTGTACCTTGATTTGCCATGGTATAGAGCCTTATTTTGGGCACTCATTTTTGAAGCTTTCATGTTGTTCAGATTATATCTTCACTTCTAGAATGTTACTATATTGACTTTCTTATTATCATTTTTAGTTACTATGCTTAGAATGTTTTGCTTGTCCATTATCCATCTCACATATTCTTTCTGGTTCGAGGTTGGCTTTTTTTCTTGTCATTTTGTCTTCCTTGCAATCTTGCCATTGATTTTATGATGCATGTGGTTTATGTACAATGATAATTTCCCTACTATGTGCAGACTTACTCTTATGATGTTGCTAGTTTTATTCTTTTGTTCCTTGATTTTTTTTTGTTCTTACATTATTGATATTGCTACTTTTGCATTTTAACAGGGCGAACCTCTATGCATTTTCTATTCTCGATATGGAATTTGCAAGTTTGGTCCAAGTTGCAAGTTTAACCATCCCATGGGAATTTTCACGTATAATTACTCCGCATCATCTCCATCTGCTGCCCCTGTTCGCCATTTCTTGGGGTCTTCTTCAGGAACTGCTGGGTTAAACCTGTCATCAGAGGGGCTTGTTGAAGCAGGCTCTACAAAGCCCAGGCGAGTTTCACTGTCAGAGAATAGGCAGTTGTCTTCCAGTGATGATAATATTGATACAGAGGGATAAATACTTGAATAAGATATGGGCAGATTACATTTGACAATCTTTTGGTGGATGAGGAAGAGTAATCTGTAAATTCATTTCCCATTGCTGGAGATGTACAGAGTTCATGTTAAGTTGATTCTGTTCTTTTAAAATATGCAATTCACTCTTCTTTTAAAATATGCAATTCAGTCGATAGTTGCATCTTCTGAATTTCATATTCCTGCATTGTATTAATCTGAAAATGATGTCACATTTGGTAAAACCCAATGTGAACAGTTCATCACCAAAGCTCTTTTTTCTTTCTGATTTTTGTGTTATATTTCGTTCACAGTATGCTGTAGGAGGCTTTCTTTTTTTCTTTTTTTTTTTTGCATTTTTTAAGCCTCTACCTAGTTTTCTGGTGAATCTTCATCTAGCTGCTCTGTTTAAGATTTCCAGTCTAGGCCCAGGCTTTCAAATACTGGCTGAGTAATTTTCTGCCACCCTGCTTTTTTCATACAACATAGCTTCACCATTCATATCTTACTTCTTCATCCTGTTCTCCATTTTCTTCTTGGTCCTCACAGCTGCAGACATTTCCTAACATCAGCGTTGTTTCTTCAGGTAATAATTACTATATTCCCTAATATTGATCAATCTTTTGGGTGATTCTCAAATTTGTTTCTTGCATTGATAGTTTTTTCTTCTTAGCCATATGTGAGAGAAATTGTCAACCAGAAGTATAAAGGAGTACACATTCAATTCTCCTGCAAAAAGAAGTGGAACAGTACTCTTCTATTTTCTTGTTAGATGAATTCTTTGAACTCTTCAAAGCTCCTGGAGATCTTACGTCATGATAAATTATTCATTGAAGATAAACTTGTAAGTTACTCCAACAGAATCTCATGTTTTATGGGGTTAGTTTATCTTTACCAAGCATCACACTTTTGTCCTTACAGAAGGTTTTTGAAAATGACAGGGATCTTCAGAATTTTACTCAATAAGATTCCAGATTTCTATTAAATGTCCTTGCAAAATCGTATCAGGTACAACAATTCCCATCATGCAAAGTTGTGTTTCTGTTCTTTTTTTTTTTTTTATTGAATGAGAAATAAGATATGGAATTATTGGAAATTTTCCTGGTTTAAGATGTAAGAAGGTTTTACCTTCTTTTGGCCTGTCAGTTTTGCTTAATGCCAACTTTAGATGTGTCCTCATGATTCCTTATTCCTATGCCTCTTGGCATTCATGACTGATTCAGTATAATAATGTCTGCTGGTTCTCTCTGGAAAGTTTGGTTGCTTTACTCTGAACTTTGGCATTGCTTATTGCATACGGAGAAAAAGTGGGGAAAAGAATGGGGGGCGGGGTGAGCGAATTGGATAAAGAAAGAACTCTAGGTTTGGGACCTTGCATTTTCTTGCATTTTCTGTTAATCAACATGATGTCGAATTAAGTTTATCAATGTTTTTAGGTTGTTGTTGCTTGTTTTGTGTTTCATCGCAACTTTGATATTTTAGTTTGTACTTACAAACAGAGATATTAAAGGATATTGAATGTTTTAGATGCTTATATATATTATTTTCTTTTCTATTATCCAATGATGTAAGTTATTAATTATAGACACTTAATTTTGTCCAGATACAATCTTATCAATCATAGAGCCCTGAAAACTAGGGCTCGGCTGTTGCCTATGTTTTTCAACTTTCACAAATATTCCAGGATTTGTTAGATAAGTTGGTTTTTAGGATAATGTAAAGAAAATAGCAAAAATCAACTTAGAAATCAATTTGATCAAACTTGGTCAAATTCAAGTCGATCTTTGAAATTTGTGATTGACTAGAACTATTGAGGCTCATTAGTAATAAAATTATAATTTGAACTCTTAAAAAAATTTTTGGACCTTAAAAAATATGAAATTATCAAAATACTATTTAGAAACATTTTCATAGTTTGACCCTCTTAAGGGCAGTTTTTCGTGAAAAATTTTAAATCATGTTTAAATATTATTTTATGAATTTCGATACATTCAAATCCTAATTGTACCTAAAAAAGGTGAAATTATCAAAATGTTTTTTAGAGATATTTTCGTAAGTTAATCTTTTTTGGGTCGAATTCTTGTGAAAAACTCTAAATCAAGTTTAAATATTATTTTATAAATTTTAATTTATTAAAAATTTTGATTGCACCTCAAAAGGAATAAAATTATCAAAATGTCATTGAAGGGTATTTTTTATAATTTAGTCTTTTTTGGGTTGATTTTTCACGAAAAATTTTAAATCATAATTAAATATTATTTTATGAATTTTGATACAATAAAATCTTGAAAATCAATATTGGATCATAAGATTTTAAAAAAATTATAAAAAATACTTAAAACACCAACAAGGGTAAAACCATCATTTCACATTCCATAAGGGGACTGTCACATGCAGCCGAGAGACTATGCTGTAAACAATGAGACCGTACCGTTAGGAAGGGCACTTATCTTATGGACCGTCTTTTTAAATTTGGTCGCCAAGATTACTAAGAAAATGACGAGTAATTATTCTCCCTTAATTTTCCTTTAATCCAAGGGCTGCCATGAGACGTGGGGGGCCTTTCAATGGTGGGGTTGAGAGCTGAAACGAGGAAGAGTATTGGCTGAAGTAAGTGGATGGTAGCACATACCAAAAAAGAAAAAAAAAAGTAAAATATAAGAAAGGGGAAAGGTATAAAGCTTAAGAAAAGTTAGCATTTTTTTTTCTTGGCTTGGTTCTCTTCTTCGTTTGATGTATTCATGGTTCCTATGCATGGAGCTTTTTACTAAGATGGCAAAACCTTCTGTTTTTCTCTATTCTTGCCAAAAAGAAAGAGCTTTTATTCCAAAATTGAAGGTTTTCTTCCAACAAAAGTGAGAAATGAGGGGTTTTGGATGTTTTCCAAGGTCCATGATCTCAACCCCATTTTGGGGAAAATTTAAGACCTTCAAAAACTTTTCACATGCTGTTTTACTGATAAAAATGGCCTCCTTATGAGAATGGCCGAAATTTCATGAGGTGGTTGAAGGAAAGTAGTAACACTCCACCCATTTAATCCTAAACTATTATAATTGTGTTTAGAGGTTGAATAAGCAAGGACCCAAAATTGTTTCCGGTACTGGCATACTTCGTTTTTCACCATTTTTGCCTTGATTTTATTTAAATTTACTTTGATCTTCAAACTAGTAAATTGTGTTTTAATGTTGGGTTGTGAGATGAGGATAGTCGGATGGAACTTTGGGTTGAAAAATCACTTTTGTTGGCTCTTGAATACTTAAATCTTGGAGTTGTTTTTATTTTATTTTATTTTTTATATTGTGCTATTTTAATTTTAAGTACTTCAAATCCCATGTCTTTTATTTCTTTTTTTTTTTTTTCAATTCTCATACATTTTACTTTCCTTGCTCTTATATATCATGATTTATTTAAGTTGTTTATATAAATTACTTCCATTGTATTGTCATTTACATTTTATCTAATTATTTTAGTTTGATTTGTTTCTCATCCAACGTTTGTTCATTCATGTTTAATATTTTTCTTGCACATTTATGATATGTTCATCATCATTTGCACTTCACCAGTATGTATGTTACTTGTTATATTCATTTGCACTTTGAAATGTTTCTTAAAAAAATCATAAAAATAAAGCCTTTTAAGGAGAAAATGAGATCACGATCTCTTAGCTTATTTCAAAAATTCGCCTAGGTGATGAAAATTTTTTAAGAGGTTTAAGGAATCATAAAACCTCATTTTTCTCATCCAACCCTAAAACCAAAGTCTAATCCTAACCCTAAAACCTCACCTTAATTCTAACCCTAAAATCTCACCTTAGTCCTAACTCTAATCCAAACTCTAAAATCTAATTCTAATCCAAATTCTAAAATCTTATCTTAACCCAAATTTTAAACCTAGGTCGAATCCAACCTTAAAACTAAACCTCAATTCAAATCCCTAAATCCCAAAATCAAATACTAAGCCAAAATTTAACCTTAAACCTCAAAACTTAACTCTAAAACTAAAGTCTAACTTTGAACTCAAAATTAAATCTTAAACCCTAATGTCAAACCTTAAAACCCAAAGTCAACCCCTTAATCCTAATCGAAACCTTAGACTTACCTTAAACTCTCAACCTCATCAAAACTTTAACCCTAGTCGAAAAACCTAAAACTTAACTCAAGCAAAATCCTAAACCAAACCTTAAAACTAACCTCTAACTCTTAATCTGACTCAAGCTCCAAATCCAACCCAAACCCTTAAATTATCTGAACTTTGAAACAAGTTAAATCCTCAAAACCTTGAACTCATTTCAACACTGAAAGTCATTCCAAAATTCAAAATATTTTGCGTCACCCTGCATTTTTTTCAATCTAATCCAAGGCTGGAAATGCCATTTGAATAGATGTTATTGCCAAATTTGGACGTCGTGGGGATCTCAGAGTGAAATGCTCTGACCAAGCCCGCAGTAAAAGTTGGGTTAAGGAATGAACTTGCAATTGTATTTAGATGCGGACTGGTAGAAAAAACATGTCGAACTTAATTAGATAGAATGATTTAGTAGCAAATAATTGGGCCCAACCCAAGCAGGTTAGTTCACTTGTTATCTTTCTTTCTCTCGGTTTTAATTTTATCTGTCGCTTTTTGGCCCATTTTCTTTCTTGTTTTAGTTCTCTCTCTCTAAATTATAAAAGAACAAGAACAGCAAAAAGCTAAAGATATAGTCAAGTAAAATAATAAAAAATATGGTTTTAATAATAATTTTTTCGTCTCATAAATTATATTTGGTTTGACTTTTTTGCCATCAAATTTTATTAACTTCGATCATTGATATTTAAATATTTTATTAAATTAATTTTTTACAAAATTATATCTGAAAACTTCCTCATTCAAAGGTTTTAGAATTTTTTTTTCATATTTTAATTAGCAATATATTTAAAATAAAATGAAGTTAAAATTAAAAAATGACCCTTAAAAGTCAAATTAAGACTTTATTTATGAAACAGAGACTAAATATTTTTCAAATTAATACTAATTAAACTACTTGATGTGTACTAATTTTCTTCCATAAACAATTAAATTTATAATGCTCCAAGAACCCTGTTCTCATTGCTCTTAAGTCTTAAAACTTTAATGAAATTTCTTTTGATGCCTATCCTCTTGATTGTTTCAATTGATTTTCTAACCCTAATAATAATTAAAAATGATTTTAGTGTTGGTTGCTTCACCAATTCACTTTCTGAAAACAATTGGGAAGTCTACACGACTACACCAAACAATTGAAAACGGTTTGAAGGGACCACAATGGAAAACAAAATTTTCTTCTTTTCTTAAAAACTTTTTTATTTTCTTGCCTAAAACTAATACTATTATGCATGACTAGAAATATGGTAGAGGAAAAAATTTTCTTGAAAAACAAAGTATGATTTTATTGGCACGTGAAAATACCAAAATTTGAATACTAATTATTGAAATTAAAAATTAAAAATTCTATCAATACATCATTAAATGTCGTTAAAACAAAGTATGATCATTTCTTATTTTGATCCATAATTTTATATTTTTCTTTTTCTTTTGGTGCATATGATTTTAGTTAGAAAATGAGAGGTAACTCTTACCCTCTTCAAAATAAGTTTATAGTTTTTATTCTTTGATGTATAAATGAATTACTTAGTGTAGCTTTATGAGTACTTTTTTAAATAATTTGAATTATTTGAAATACTAGCACTTGTTATATCATAGTTCTATATTTTATTTTAAATTTAATTTGTTACTCCAATTTTTTTTAATTTTTAATTTAAACAAATTATTAAACATTAGAATTAGTAAAATTTTCAAATGATATTTTATTTGTTAATGTAACAATTATATTTTTTCCATATACTACATGTTTTAATGTAATAAAAATTATTTATAACTTTTTGTGATATACCAAACCAAAATGATTTATATTTGATGTACATTAATGTATAGATGTTTCACAATGTCAGTGAATCGATATCTCAAAAAAACTAATTTTAAATATATTTTAAGATTAATTGTTTTTTTTAGATTTTAAAAATTTAAAATTAATCTTTTATAAAATATCATTATATAATTTATTATCCGTGTATAATATTTATACATTTACAATTATAGTATATCAAATATAAATTTATATGAAAATTATATTATTTCTTTTGTAACTTTTAAAAATATCATTTAATTAATAGCTTTACCTAAGTCTTTGGCCTTTAGGTAATGATTTTGGTATCATCCTTGCCATCTCATAAAATTTGAGGATTTGAATCTCAAATCCAAGTATCAATGCTAGCTTTTTTTTTTTTTTAGACCAAATCTATCTCTTTTAAGAATCCACACCACAACTAATCCTAGCTTTATCTTTTATTACCATTGTTTTGTATCATCTTTCATCATAACTCATGAGATGAACTCAATTTGTCATTTTGAATTACAACTAGGTGAGTACTCACGCATTGTTGTAGGTTAAAATTTTTTTGTTTTGCCATTCATATTTATTGGTTTTATTGTTGAAAAATATACTTATTTAAAAAAAAAAAATAAA